CCCCCCCTCTCCGGGCCCCCCTCCCCAGCCACTCCCACCTCCCGTGATAGCGCCTCCGTCGACCCGAGCGCCTCGGCCTCCACCCAGTCCACCGTCCAGTCGGCCATCGACCCGTCGGTCACTCCGGACGCCCTGCGCGAGCGCCTCCAGAGCCAGCTCGGTGTCAACTACCACATGCGCCGGCGTGGGTCCGTCAGTGCCGAATCCATGAACCCCACTGACCTGGACAATGTCGAGCGTGTGGTCATTGCCAAGAGGTGTGTTGCTCCTCCTCCTCCCTCGGCACCTTTTCTGTGCCTCCCTTTTCCCTTCTCCCCTCCTCCGCCCCTCTATGTCTCCCTCTCTCCCTGTCCCTCTCCCTCCCCTTCCCCTGGCTCGCTCTCTCGCTCGCTCGCAAGCGCACTCCACCGAGAATCTAATCCTCCCTCCCCTCCCACAGCCAAGAGGCCCGCATCCAGATCGCCATCGCCATCTCCGGCAACTTGCTTTTCCGGAACCTGGATCGCCTCCCTTTTCCCTTCTCCCCTCCTCCGCCCCTCTATGTCTCCCTCTCTCCCTGTCCCTCTCCCTCCCCTTCCCCTGGCTCGCTCTCTCGCTCGCTCGCAAGCGCACTCCACCGAGAATCTAATCCTCCCTCCCCTCCCACAGCCAAGAGGCCCGCATCCAGATCGCCATCGCCATCTCCGGCAACTTGCTTTTCCGGAACCTGGATCGCGACCAGAAGCAGGAGGTCGTGGACGCCATGTTCGAGCGCCGCGTCACCGCCGGCGAGGAGGTCATCCGCCAGGGCGACGAGGGTGACAACTTCTACGTCGTGTCCGAGGGCACCTTCGCCGTGCTGATTGACGGCCGCCAGGTGGTGGAGATCGGCAAGTCCGGCAGCTTCGGCGAGCTGGCCCTCATGTACAACACCCCGCGCGCGGCCACCATTCGGGCCCAGACCGATGGTGTCCTGTGGGCCGTCGATCGTGTGACCTTCCGCCGGATCATCATGAACAACACCTTCCGCAAGCGCAAGATGTATGAGACCTTCATCGCCAGTGTGCCGATCCTCCAGTCGCTGGAGACCAGCGAGCGCATCAAGATCGCCGACGCCCTGGAGCCTGTGCATTTCGAGGATGGCGAGGAGATCAGTGCGTGCCTGGCTTCTTCGCTGCTTCACGTCGCTTCTCCCGTGTCGCGCCTGGCCCCGTGTGCCCCTTCCCTCTTCTCTGCCTCTCTCTCTCTCTGCCTCTCTCTCCCCCTCCGGTGACAGCTGGGTGCCACCGGGCAGGGCCCTTCTCCCTCGCTCTTTCCCCTCCCCTCTCACATTGCGCGGGCCTCCTCCTTCCGAACCCCTAACCCCTCCGTGCCTGCCTGGTGCCTTGCCCCCTCCCCGCGCTCTCGCTCCTGCTCCTCAGTCGGCGAGGGCACCTTCGGTGACACTTTCTACATCATCGTCGAGGGCGAGGCCGTCGTCACCAAGACCGTTCAGCCGGGCCAGGCCGCCGCCACCAGCAGCGAGGAGGGCCAGGAGGGCTCCAGCGCGTCTGGGTCTGCTACCTCTTCCAGCGCCGGCAACAAGTCCTCGGCCGATGGCGGCGCGGAGGACGGTGCCAGTGACTCGGACTGCTCGGACTCCTCCGACGCCGATGATGACTCCAACACCGTCATCGTCAACCACCTGGCCAAGGGCGACTACTTCGGCGAGCTGGCCCTCCTGACTGATCAGCCGCGCGCGGCCACCGTCACCGCCCAGGGGTCGGTGGAGTGTGTGTGCCTGGACCGCCGTGGTGCGTTGACCATTTCCCCCCTGGTGTTTCTCGCGCACATGCATCCGCCTGATGGCCATCCATCCATCCATCCATCCATCCATCCATCTATCTGCCTATCTACCCACTCGCTCGCCCACTCACCCATTCGTTGACCGTCGCTCCCCTCGCTCCGGAACCCCAGCTTTCATCCGTCTCCTTGGCCCCCTCACCAGCATCCTCAAGCGCAATGCCGAGACCTACCAGCGCTACACCAAGAACCTCGAGAGCCACCACGTCATCACCGACGAGCATGACGATCACTCGGTCATCGATGACATCTCGGCCAGCTCCTCGGTTCCCTCCTCGCCGGCTCTGGCCCATGCCCCGGCTCCCACCTACAACGTCACCGAGGAGCAGGAGATGGATGATGATGACGATGATGATGACGACGACGACGACGACACCAGCAGCAAGGACAATGGGGACGCCAGCTCCTAAGGACGCATCGCGCTCGATCCGCGCGTGCGCCCCCCCCCCCCCCCCCCCCCCC